CTTGGATTTTCCCCCCCCCTTTTCATTCAAATTTTGACTAGTCTCCTGTTAGCTGTCTAATATCCTTCCCTTTCAGGGTTCTTAGCTGATGGTTTTTGTATTTTGTCTGGAGTGAGAAAGATAGCCTGTATTTGGCTTACTCAGTGTTGATTGGAACTACAGTATCTCTGCATCTATGCTGCTTTTTAGTATTTCATTTGTGGAGCGAAGATGAGCCGTCTCCTGCCATGTGATATCTAGCCTCTTAAAACCTGCTTCAGAGATAGTTGTGAGTGCATTGAGACTCCAGGGCACACAACAACAATTAAAGTCTTTTTGTTATGTGGGTTGATAACTCAGTGAGATGGATTGACACAGTAATGGCCTTGAGCATAGCAAAAAAGTACGAAGATTGGTCAGAACTGGATGGTGGTACCCTCTATGTTTTGATGGTTGCTGGGAAGCAGAACAGACTGACTGGTACCTGACAGTAAAGCAGCAGTCGCAGCAAGATTGCTTTTTTATGTTTCTTTATTTTACCAACATTGGAAACATATGTAAACTCTATTAATTGGGGATCCAATAAGATGAAGTCATTGACAGTTTCAGTCTTTCTCCATTTATTGTAGTAGTGTATCTTGGTCCATTGGCAAGAATTTTTGTTTTCTTGATGTTGAGATGCAATTCATATTGAAAGCTGTAGTCTTTGACTACAAAAAAGTGCAACTCCATAGGGTTTTCAATATGGATCTTTTGGTAACAGACTCCAGGTTTGTCCTTTGTAGTAACTGAGTGGTTTAAGACTGCTAACCTTGTTAGCTGGTAGTCAAGTGTTTTAGCTGTTTGAGTGACATGGGGACTCCTCTGTTTAGAATGTAGACTATGTGCTGAAAACTCTCCCTAATAATTGAAAAAATCCAACTGTCATTGAATTTATTCTAATTCATGGCAACACCATGTGAAAGACAGCAATAAAAGCCATCAGGATACCAAGAATACATATTTAAAGAAAATAATTGTGGTTCTTAGGTAGTTTACAAAATATAAAAGCTTGGGACTAGATTTATCTTGTCTTTTTTCATGGTGAAACAAGTGTTGGGAAGTGAAAATGCACCTTAATCTTGATCTTTATCTTGATAATTTAGAATTAGAAGTAGTAACCATTGCAAATGAAAAAGGGTCTATTTTAAAAATTAATTAGCTTTGTTAGCTTTAATTCATTATTAACACTTACATAGGATCTTAGAGGATAGAATGGTTTAGAACCGTAATTTTTTATAAAGTAATGACATTTTTCTTTGGCCACTGAATGGGAAATTAGGTGGTGGTTGTTATGTGCCGTGTTGTTGCCTGCAACTCATAGCAATGCTGTGTACAACAGGCCTAAACCCTGCTCTGTCCTGTGCCAACCTTACTGTTTTTGAGACACACACACATCCCAATTACCATAGTCACTGAATCAGTCCACCTCATAGAGG